CTTCAGATATTCATGTGAGATCACTCTGGATCCAAACACAGCTCACAGACACATGTTGTTATCTGAGGGGAACAGAAAAGTAACATTCATGAAACAAGATCAGTTTTATCCTGATCATCCAGAGAGATTCACTTCATGTGGTCAGATTCTGAGTAAGGAGAGTCTGACTGGACGTTGTTACTGGGAGGTGAAGTGGGGAGGACCAGGAGGTAGAGTAGCAGTCGCATACAAGGATGTTGATAAAACAGAGAGTGCATTTGGATTTAATGATAAATCCTGGTCTTTATTTTGTGATGAAAACTTTAATCAGTTTTGTCACAACAGCATCAGAACTCCCATCTCAGCTTGTGCTGGGTCCAGAGTTGGAGTGTACCTGGATCACAGAGCAGGTGTTCTGTCTTTCTACAGAGTCTCTGAGACCATGACTCTCCTCCACAAAGTCCAGACCTCCTTTACTCGACCACTACATGCTGGAATAGGTCTCTGCTTCAATTATGGAGACACAGCTGAGATCTGTAAACTAAAATAATTTTGTTTGTTGCTGAAAGTTTCTTGTTGTGTTGTCTCCACTGCTCAGAGATCAACGTGTCCAACAGTTTTTGTTGACATTATTGTCCCATAATCTGTTAATAATGAAGTAAAATGTGATAATGTTCCATAAATGCTTAAATAAATAAAATGATATAAATGCTCTGGTTGAATATTCTCACAAAATAAACTCCTGTTGGAACATTTTTTGATTGTTTTTAGTTTTTTCTCCTCGAGCGTCACGGATCATATTTTATATTAAAACCTCACTCCTTCATCAATTTCAGTTAAACGTTTCAACATTTTTTTCATCTTTATTTAAGTAAATCAAAACCCTCAGATGTTTTTACAAGGCTGACCTGGTCACGAGGTCAGTACACATCATCAAATTGATCAGAGGAAGTAAAAATATATAATCAACCTCAATAAATGTATTTGGAGGGCATGTGCATGGTCTTTTAATGATTCTAATGCTGACTGCAAACAAAGGCGATGGTTAAAAAAAAACACAAGTAATGAATAAATTACAATTTGTACAAGCGTCTCTTTAGAGGCTTTTTAATTGTACGTTTTGTGTTGCAGCTGATTTCTCCAGATGTTTCCGAGCACAGATGAAGGTAGTGTAGAGGAGAAATGGTTCATCATCAGATTTTTGATATTAGTTTATCTGCACATTTCAAATGTGACATTTTGACATGCTTTGAATGTGAAAAGTGATCGTGAGGTTTGTGAGATTTCGCCCTGTAAAAGATTTAGACATCTTGAACATCAGACTTTTTTTTTAAAGCATGAAATATTTAATATAGTTTATTTTTCCTCCCCCATTTCATCCTTGCTCTGTTATACATACATTTTAATTTCATTTTTATACGTTTAGCATCAAATCGTGACTTGTTTTTTAATTTTTATAGACATATTTAGATGTAACACATTCAACTATTACCTGTTTTATTGTTTATAACTCTTAACATCCATATCTACATTAAATTTTACACCCTTTACAACTTTATGTTTCGAAAATCCGCATTTCTTCAACTTTTCATGAAACAACAAACGGTTTGCGAGTGATTTTTTACAAACAGAACGTTACATCATCAAGTAGGGAGAAAAATGTTGCTGACAACACTGAGTGTGTTGACCTGAATGGACAATGTCAGAGCGTGACCTCTGATTGTTAACCCTTTCACCCCCTCTTTGACCCCAACGTTGCACGAGAAGCTGACGCTGAAACAATTTCTGAGCTCGCTGAAAAGTGACCGGTCCTTCCATATTCTGTGTTTTTCTGTGTTTGCTGCTGACTCAGGGGCGTTCGGACAAAGGGCCCAGTCCCGGGGCTCAAGTATAAAAGGAAAGGGTTAAACCATGTAGGGCACAGTTTGGTGCAAGAGCAAGAACAGCAGCAGCTCCAGCAGCAGCAGCAGCAGCAGCAGCCCACCGACCAGCAGCATGACTTCCACTGGAATGAACCAGATGAGCAGAGTAAGTTTTTAGACTCAAGTCCTGAAACAGGCAGAGAAAGACTTTTCTGTCTTTAAACACTTCCTGGTTTTTGTGGACATGCTTACCACGTTGTTCAGCTGTTTGTGGAATCGGTTGCTCACGGTAAACTGGCTAAACATGACAGAGATGTCACGCTACGTGCTGTCAATGACACGTTTCTGTTCTGTCTCCTTCAGATCGTCTTCTACGAGGAGAGGAACTTCCAGGGCCGCTCCTATGAGTGCATGAGCGATTGCCCCGACATGTCCTCCTACCTGAGCAGGTGCCACTCCTGCAGGGTGGAGAGGGGTTGCTTCGTGGTCTACGACCGCACCAACTACATGGGCAACCAGTACTTCATGAGGAGGGGCGAGTACGCTGACTACATGAGCATGATGGGCATGAGCGACAACATCAGGTCCTGCCGCATGATCCCCATGGTGAGTACCCTTCCCCTCGTGCCCCCTTTATTAACATCTGTGGGGTGCTCGTGGTTTAATCTGCTCATTATTCTCACCACAGTACAGGGGATCCTACAGGATGAGGATCTATGAGAGGGAGAACTTCGGAGGTCAGATGTATGAGCTGATGGATGACTGTGACAACATCATGGACCGTTACCGCATGTCCAACTGCATGTCCTGCAACGTGATGGACGGCCACTGGCTGATGTACGAGCAGCCCCACTACAGAGGCAGGATGATGTACATGTGGCCCGGGGAGTACAGGAACTTCATGAACATGGGCTACAGCGGCATGAGGTTCATGAGCATGAGGCGCATCACCGACTCCTGCTATTAGATTCTCTTTGCACTGAATAAAACTGTCCCAAATTGAATTACTGCTGTGGTTCAGTCACTGTTTATTCCAAACAGCCTTCATTTAGAACTATAAGAGGAAGTAGGTAAAAAAAAAGTTATATTTTATTTTTCAGGACTTTTAAAAGCCTCTAACTTGCATTCTGTCTAACGGCCAGTAGGGGGAGCCTCCTCAAAGGTGTCATGTTAAGCCAAAGTTCAAAACAACCTTTTTTCATTACCTAATTTATCAAATCTTTGTCCCCATAAATTGTGTTCCCAGTTTTTTTTTATTGTTTATTTTATGAGTTACAGTCCCACTAAAAGCAAAACAGACACCAATCTAGAGTGTGTCTTAAGCAAGGCTGTTTTATATGGCACACGTTATCTCTGTCTGAATGTGTGTGTTTAGTTTCAATTTATTTATATTCCAGTAAAATTAGACCAGTTGGCTTAAAGATCTCTATATCCTCAGGGAGCCAGGTGGCAAATAAAATGTATCTTACTAAAGTGTTTTCTGCAACAATTTGTCTCCCTCCTGCTAGAAACTTGTTCCTCCCTTTTCCACCCCACAATATTTCTGTTCACCATAGATAAGATGCATAAGATACTGTCAGTAGAGGATCGTTTTCAAGCACGTTTAGAAATCCAAGTCTTTTTATTGTGTGTTTATTTTTAATTCCTTACTGCTGGTTTTGATGAACCAACTTTAAGTTGGTAATCGTTAGTGAGGCATGAAGCTCTTAAAAACTTATCAAATTGGGTCAAAAAGTTGGGAACATGTTCAGACCAAAGCAGCCAGATTTTGACTCAGAAAACGTTTCATTTATTTATTTATTTTTTCCAAATGTAATGTCAAATTAAATTCAGACAACGTGAATCTGACAGGTGTGATGGGTACAAAGCTGCAAACACAAACACAAGGGGGATTTATTTTTCCATTTGACTCAGTTTTAAATTGTTCAAGTAGAAAAGTTTTTTTTTGGAGAGATGAAGGGACAATAGTTTTGCTGCGGTACCAATTTTCCCAAATGTTTCCATCAACCCAGTCGTCCCTTGGTGAGAGTGTGAGTGTTTGTCTCATTTGTTTCTCTGTGTTGGACCTGTGACCTGTCCAGGTGCCCGCCGCCTCTCATGCAGTGACTTCTGGAGATAGACACCAACTCTCTGCGACCCATAAAAAAGCGTTAAGAAAATGGATCCATTCGTGAGATTATTATTTATTTATCATTTATTAAGCTTTATTTAAACAGTCAAATCCCACTGAGATCATAGATCCCTTTTGCAAGGGAGGCCCTAACATGTTTTTGGTCTGTGGGAGGAAACCGGAGTACCCAGAGAAACCCCATGCAAGCACAAAAAGAGCATGCAAACTCCACACAGTAAGCCCCCAGGTCCAACTGGGGATTGAACCCGGGACCTTTTTGCTATGAGGCAACAGTGCTAACCACTGGGCCGTCACGCTGCCAAAGATGAAATGAACCAGAAACACAGACATCAGGAAAAAACATGACTTAAATGCCATCAAAAGTTTTTTATTCTGTATTCTCTGACGTAAATATTTTACATTTCATGTTATATGACATATAATGGGGTCTAAAATGGCCAAATATCACTTTTGAGAGATAACTTTTTCAAAATGGCACAGTGGTTCAGTTTTTGGTTACAATGTTCATGAAGCTGAGAGGAAATCTGTTCCTCATTGGTGAAACTGAACGACCCTTTGTCATCCAGCTGAGGAGCTGCTGCCTTCCTGTTATAATAAAACTCAGAGTTGGAGGGCGTTTCATTCAAATCTGTGAGGAAGTTAAACTGTATGTCTGTACTGGTCAGTTGTAAACTTGGACTTTATAGACTAAATACCGGAAAACTTGAGATTTTGTTCATTACAGCAACGCTCTTCCCATTTGGCTTCGGTGTCCCTCAGGGTTCAGACAAATAAACATCAACGTTGGAGCATCGGAGTTTGTTTCTGTGTTTCCTTCAGTAAAAATGAAGCACTCGGGAAATCACACCAATTTGCTGGTAAACAACAATGCTCAGATTAAAGACTTTAGGTTGATAATGTGAAAAAATAAAGTGGAACCTATAATAAATGTAATGTCATGAAAGCTGTAACTTTACAAAAAAAAAAAAAATAAATAAATTGAAGCCAAACGATGAAACTCTGTGTTCAACAGGTGTCTGCCGCAGCTAACCGTGACAACAGCTCGGCCAGTTTGACAGGCATGTAGCTATTATTTGGTGTGGTAGTAGCTGAGAGTCATCCTAAACACATACTCGGAGGGCTAAGAGATCTTGCAAGATCTTCCATGAGACTGTGAAAAAAATCCATCTGCAGTGTTTGATCAAATCGACTTTAATTCTGCTGTTTGTCATCATTAAATGATTTTAGTTCAACACTCGGCTGGTGATTGTCACAAGGACTAAATATCAACACAGGGAGGCAAGTTCAGTGTTTTTATTTACAGTGAAGTAATCACGGAAATGATCAGGAACCCTGGGGAGCAAGGAGAAGGGCCAGCACTGAAGTTCAGTAGGGATGGTGTTATTAGATTGTCCTCTGGTTCTCACTGGTCAGTGAAAAAGATGTTTGAAGAGTCACTGGTTCCATTAATCCTGTGTGAATAATGGCAATCCAGCATGGAAAATAGTCACTGGTGGGCGAGTGGTTGGAAGGCAAGGAAGACAGCTGAGGAGGTCACAAGGAAGTTTCCAGAATTACACAAGGAGTCCAAGAACAGGTAGGTCTCAAGAGGTTCACTGGAAACAGCAAAAGGTACAGGGGTACCACTTTACAATAAGGCTCCATTTATAGATGCTAATAGTTTAAAGATGCATTATTAATTCCTCTATAAACACTTTATAAATCATTAATAATTGTTTATTATGCATTCATTAAGGGTAACAGACCAAACTGACCAGTTGGTTGCCAAACAGTGAGCCAAATCTGTTCACCTATATATTTCATCTTGAGTTGTTATATTAAACATTTCAGACTAAGTTACTACCTTGTAAACACAATAAGCATTTGTAAACCTATTTTTTTAGCATATTGTACTTTATCACTGCATTATAAGTATCTACAACAATGGTAATATTATATCCTTAAAAAAAACCTAGGTTTACAAATGCTTATTGTGTTTACAAGGTAGTAATCTGAAATGTTTAATATAACAACTCTAGATGAAATATATAGGTGAACAGATTCACTGTTTGGCAAGAAACTGATCAGTTTTGTCTCTCTATCACCCTTAATGAATGCATAATAAACAATTATTAATGATTTATAAAGTGCTTGTAGAGGAATTAATAATGCATTTATAAACTATTTACTAGCCATCTATAAGAGCCTTATTAAAAAGTGGTACCAGTACAGTTAAGTAAACTCAGATCACTAGAAATATAAATGGCACAAATCATTGGCAAAGTAATGCTCCATCAAGGAAGAGTCATCACCTGGGGGAGTGGTGGTGCAGAGGTTAGAAGATGGGCCCGTGATCGGAACGTCGCCGGTTCACCTCCCAGAACCGTCAACATAAAAAAAACTGTGGGTGGAAAAGGTGGAACACCCACACCTCCCTCCACCCTCATTCGCCCCACTCTGGACCCCTGAGCAAGGCCCTTAACCCCCACCATCCTCTCCCTAAACAGGTCTCTCTTGAAAATGAGTTCTCGTGGCTCAGTGAGATTAACTGTATAAATGAAGAGTAAATAAATAAAAAATAAAACTGCGTTTTAAAGCGGTAGAGGCAGCGCAGCCGACTCGGGACCCAAAAGTCCCATGTTTGATCCCCAGCCATTCCCACATGTTGTGGCGTCTCTGAGCAAGATAGCTAATCCCTAAGTGCACCCCGGGTGCAGCTGCCCACTGCTCCATTGTTCCAGGTGCAATGGGTTAAATGCAGATAACCAATTTCACCATTGTATGGGGGCTCTCATCAGGGAGATGTGGTCATCTGGTGCCATCTAGTGACCTCAGGAAGGAAGTGCCTGGAACTCCCACAGTGATATGCATTACTTCAAGTAATGCTGCATCTTAACTTCTGACAAATACAGGATATTACTCTTTATATGTCAAAACCTCTGACCACTTGAAAGTTCTCCTGAATTTAGATCCTTTCTTTGACCCTGGAAAAGCATAAATATGAAATGTGCTACCTGGCAGGTTAAGAAAACGTAAAACAACAACAAAACCAGTGATTTCTTTGAAATCTGCTTTTATTCTGCAGATATATTTAGAGAAAGCATCCTTCAGCCTAAGTTTCTGCCTGACTAGAAGCATCTTGGTGCATACAAACTTCTAGCGACTGTGAGTTAAACCCCTGCTGTTTAAGGAGAATCAATGAGCCGCCGACAAAAACAGGTTTTGAGGACATTTAAAATGGAAAATCCAGACAAAAGATATAAGAATTAATTCCTGCATATCTCTAACTGGCGCTCCTTCTCACTCTTCCTCTTTTCTCCTCACTCCTCTTCCTCAGGAGGACAGCCAATCTAGTGGGCGAGCGGGGAATCGATGCCCTGATACAAGATTCAGCCTAATGAGGATCAGAAACATCTTAATAAAGACCTATAATCCTCCACTTAATCCCTCATTACAGAATCATCTGCATTCTCTGGTCCTGCTCCAACGCGCCGCAGTGACTGCACAGTTTCTAGGTCCATTGTTCTGCCTCCACTCATCTCTCCACCCAAGGCTACGACTGCCTTTGTCTCCCCCCGGTGTCAGCTATATTTGATCTGCTCTCATTAGACTTTTAGACGAGATGAGCAGAAGAGCCTGAAAATAGTGCTTTTGTGTGCACTTCTTTGTTATCTCTTGTCTGAAATGGAAAATGAGACATATGTTTAATGAGGAGGGGATGGACTGGGACAGGGAGAGATGGAGCGTATTGTGGAGAAGGTGCTGTGACCGATACTGTTAAAGGACACACTTCCAACGTCTGTGTCAGTAATTACGACTTCTGAGAGAAAGAAAATGGCTCTGAAGTGGGACGGATGGATTAAGCTGCGATGCAGACTGTAGTTCTGTGCAGCA